GTACCTGGCCCTGCTTGCCCGGTGACAGGAGTCCCTTGTCACACAACAGAGGAGACATAACCGGGCACAATTTCCGATTTTAAAAAGAGTAGCCGCTCACCTTGCATGGCTGAAAGCCATACACGATGGCAGGGTTCAGGGGAGAAATGGAAAGGTTTGTCAAGCATCCATATGGTACCTCTTTCTCCTTATTAAATTTTGCCCATGCTCAGCAATTAAGGGAGACTGTGCATGAGCAGTGCTTGCAAAGCTACTGCACAGTTGTTGTAGAAATCTCAGTAATGGGTAGAAATCAGAAGGAGGAAGCCTTTTAGTTAGTGGCTTCAGTACAGTTTTGCTAGTCCACCAGCATGGATATTGTCTAGAGGCTGTGTCAGTAAGAAGGATGGAGAGAAAAAGGATGGTAATTATCCCAGAGTGGAAACGGCTAATGTGGACCCAAGTAGTACAGTATAACATTAAGGGCTTCATTCTTGCTCCCGTCGCACCTGAATGCTTATCTGCTCTGCTTCTTTTGCCATCTTCAGGGCAGTTTCAAGATCCCTCTTGTCAGCTTTGTTCTTAAGCTTAGCCTGAAATATAATATACAGAAGAGGATGGATTGGTGGTTGGTTTGGGTGGAGAGTTCTTACTGCTTTTTCTTTCAATATATCCTATTTCAAAATAAAATTTTACTACCTTATGGCGCTCCCTTGATGGGTCCGCACAGCAAACCTAAAGAGGTTGCACCATTCCAGCAACCGTTTATGGAACTATGGGGATTACGGTTCTAAGGGGGAAAGTGAAAGAGCACTGCAAGCATTCTGAGTGTCTCAGGGCCAGAGGAGACATTGCTCAGGCAGATCCACCCCATTTATTTATATCCACATTGGTCCCAAGGGAGTAGAAAGACCAGACTGCAGAGGGCTGCTTCTCGTTTGTGCTTTTTCAAAGATCAAACCCTCCTTCCACCTGTGGCTTTCTTCCCTGAAATGTGCTCTGTTGTTTTAATAAGTAAACCTGCCCCAATTTTCTGTCACCTGCCCCTCCCAGAACGATAATTCCCAGAGTACCTTGGAGGAAGTCATGCTGGCTAGACAGCTTTGGAACTCATTCAAGTTCATTGTTTTGCAGGGCCCGATTTGGTGAACAAACACTTCCAGTTGCAATGCATGGCAGTGGTGGGAGCTTAGAGAGGGAAGATAGATGAAGTAGAGGTGGACAGAGAGAATGGCCCTGCCTGAAGCGCATTGCCTTGAGACTCTGCCTTCCCATCATCCAGCCACTCTTAGTCACTGTCTACACAGCTGTGATCACTTTCCAAAGGCATTTCCCCTTCCAATGGGCCTGCCTTCATGCCCACAATAGAGATGGGTATGAATCGGTTCGTTCCCGTTCACAAAGGCGGTGGCTGCTCCCCTTCCCCTGCCTCCTCTGGCCCAGTCAGCCCCTCACCTGGCCCAGTGTGCCAGCTCCCTGCCCCTCCCTCAACTGATCTTCCAGTCCCAGGCAGCAGCTCAGGATTAGGTGATCTCCTGCACAGACAAAAGGGCAGGGCAGAGAAGGATGTGCTCTTGCTCGTGACTGGGAGATCAGTCAGGGAGGTGGTGAGAAAAGCAAGCCAGCTGAGCCTCGGGAGGGGCTGAATCAGTTGTGCTGCCGCCTTGACGAAGCAGTGCGAACTGGGATGATCCAGTTGATGCCCATCTCTATCTAGTTCATTATCTCCCGGTGCCTGCCTGGTCATATTGAACTATGGAGAAACCACCACAAAGGAAAATCTCCTTACCAAACCATTCTCTTTCACATTTGCTTCACTAAAGTTCCTTAGACTGGAGGCAGAAATCCAAGCTCGGGTCACAGAGCTACCAAAAAAGGTCACATGGTATTTGGACTGGAACGAGGAAGGAAACAAAGCATGTCAGCAAGAGCGCTGCTGGGCACAGTACACGGACATCTCTTGATGTAAAAATATTTGGTATTTATGCTATCAGCGTCCAGCAAGCCTATGCCGGGCTTGTGGCTATTAGACAGGACAGACTATTGTAGAACCTCATAATTAGGTAAAAATAAGCAATTTATGCTCATTGCTTCAGGCAACACTAACTGTTGGGTGTGTGGCACCAATACATCATTGTGTAGCTGTGCACTCGCACAGCTTAGAGGGAATGTTGCATGGGGATGTAGGCTGGTAGCTGTCATGGAAGAAACTCCATGGATCACTTCTCACTGACAAAAGTAAACTGTTTTCTAAAAAAGAGGAGGAAGAAAAGCCTGAGTAGTAATTTGCAAGTTAATAATTGGTTACTTAAAAAAATAAAGCGGAAACATGATTCTTAAGCTCCGGTGGCTATCTACCTATACTACCCTGGTTCAGCTCACATAGTATATGTTTTTGTTTTCACTTCCAACAGCCAAATGAGCGACAGCCTTCTGTCCAAGAACCCTTCATCTACAGATGAGATGTAACTGCCTCTTGGGGAAAAAAAACCCAAGGTGCTCAAGTCAAGACCCCACTGGTATATCCAAGGATCCCACTGGCATACAAGCAAGCATGGTGTCAAAAAAATGTGTGTAATACTTAACAGGAAGCAAATCCATCTGGGAAGAAAACAGGAAATACTCCTCAATGTCAGGATCGGCCTCTATGAGCCCTGGCCACCTGCACAAATAAAGAGCAGAAAACACTGATGTGAGTGCACTCCTAAAGCCAGCTGCTTGACTTCTGTTCACTGCTCTCCTCTCCTGCTGAGAACATTGATATATTTCAAGGAAAAGGGGGCTTAAAAATCTCAATTCATCAGTGTAGCTTGGAGACCCCAAAATGTGAAAATTGTGCTCGTTTAACTAACAAAACGGTCACAATTTCCCCTCCAGTAGCTTCTTTACAGTGCCTCTATGCTAGTTTCTGGGACCCACGGATAGACTCTTTTCATTCTTGCTTTCTTCTCATCCCTTTTCTTTCAATCATAGCAAACAGAGATTGGGCCAGGGAAAATAAGCTGACCCAAAAGCAGAGTTAGGGGCCAGATGGTAGGGGTTCAGCAGAGCCCTGGGCTGTTCCGCCAAGAAGCTTCTATTTGGCCACCTTATGCCACCAATTCTTGACCCAGCCCACCCTACAGGCTTCTTGCAGCCATGATAATATCTTCAGGAAGGAAGAACTTTGAATTACTTGGATGCTATCTCCTTCCCAGTTCTTGAGATGTTTTTTTCTGGACGATAACTCACAAACTTTGCCAGCCAGCCAGCATAGTTAGAGCTCAGAGTTTATAAGTGTTGTCATTTAAACAGTCCCATTTTGAGGCTATACAGTATTTTAATTCTGCATCCAGCGAAATTTCAGAAAAACAATGCCACACCAGAATAATGAGGCTCTAGAATTGTTGTTGCTGTTGTTTAGTCATTAAGTCGTGTCCAACTCTTCGTGACCGTATGGACCAGAGCACCCCAAGCCCTCCTGTCTTCCACTGCCTCCCACTGGAGTTGGGTCAAATTCATGTTGGTCCCTTCGATGACCCTGTCCAGCCATCTCGTCCTCAGTCGTCCCCTTCTCCTCCTGCCTTCACACTTTCCTAACATCAGCGTCTTTTCCAGGGAGTCTTCTCTCCTCATGAGATGGCCAAAGGATTGAAGCCTCAGCTTCAATACTTTCCAAAAACTTTGGTTCAAGATCCTCTACTGCCACCAGAGCCACAGCTTCTTGTTTTTCTAGTGCCAGTCATGCGTAAGGCTGAGCCACCCTGGGTCCCTTCACTGGGAGAAAGGCGGCAGAGAAACAAACAAACAAATACATACATATATGCATGCATACATACATCAGAGTGTATGCAGAACACAGACATGCCTCTGCTCTTAGTGCGAAGGTTTGGAAATCAAATTCCTTCGGGGTCAAATGCAGTCAGGGCCAGTGGCTCAAAGGGCTCTTCCACATGTGCTTCTGTACGTTACATAGTCAACGTGTAAGGAACATGAAGCATATAAAGAGGATGGCTGTTTCTGGGGAGTTCCCCCTTCAGTGGATTCGAGGCCCCATTCTTGGCCTGTAGTCTTTTCAGAGGAGGACGGCAGCTGCTGAACTGGCAAGGGTGCGAAGGAAGCTTGGCTATTTTGGCTAAGATTCCCCCAGGAGGGTCAACAGCTGAAAAGACTGCAAAGAGCCAGTCTGAACTGGGTTTTTCTTCTGAGCAGATTTGAGGTCTGTTTGTTTTTTAATCACAGGAGGAACTGGGCCAAGTATATTTTGCAATGGGGGTGAGGTGGGTCAAGAAGTGGGATGACGATTTTGTACTCCACCCCTCATCCTAATAAGCTGGTGAGAGAAAATTGGTCTGTTTGGTTCAGTGCGGTGTGCTGCTCAAAGAATCCACACTTTCTTACTACTGTACTACAGGCATGATCTCCCTGCCGCCTGTCTTTTTAAACTGCCCTGCTTGTTTATAGTTTTTTTCCTTTCTGATTTGGCAGAAGAGTGTCTATGTATTTTTGGCAAACAAGACTTGTGTCCTCCTGAAGCAGGATCTCTAAGCAGTGAGTAAAGGAAGTAGGGAGCGCAGTGCTGAATAATTTTAATATGTCCAGTTTTTTCATACCATGGGTATCCATACTGTTTTGCCCATACGATCGACCCCGGAATATAAACTGCATAGACCACCTCGTTTTCAGATCCTGACCATGTCTCTTCAGGAACACTGCAGCTGTTGCATTGGAGATCTGCCACAGATAATAAGTATTCTACTTAAATATAATGTAAAGGAAACAAACACACATTCCCTCCTTTTAGCCTTACCCTTCTTACCCCAGGATTTGGAAGTAATTTACAAATGACAAGCTACCTGACATTAGTTCCTTCCCACAAAACTAACTCAATGAGGGATTATTTTAACTCCAGGTGCAATGCACCTGGAATTTTAAAAGTTACTTTTCTAGTTACTTTCTTCCTGTGAAAGGAAGAAATGAATGCTTTTATTGCCTTTGGGCACCACAGCTTCACCAGTATGAGACTCAGGTCTATGTGCGGTTCAGCTATTTAACTGAAGGAAGGAGAGGCCACCAAATAATTGTTGGCCCCCATAAACCAAAAGTTGATGTCTCTCTTTCTTACCTGTATTCTGACTACAAGACCAGTCCTCGGGCAGAACCGAAGGATCAATGTCACTGGGGAGCTGCCTCCACTTCTTGCAGGTTGGAGAAGAGCACTGGACCCATGCAATGCACCAGCCTAGGAGGCCAATGGGAGAGAAATGCCACAGGGAACTTCAGCTTTATGATACATACTGCTGAAGCACTACACAAGGGAGTAATTCCCCCCCACACACACTGCCTTTGCCTCCCTGAGGGCATTCCTTCCCTAAAGATGTTGCTTTAGAAGAGGTAGCTGTGTTAGTCTGTGCAAGCATATCTGGCAAAATCCAAAGCAACAAAATAAAGCAAAACCAAAAAACAAACAAGCAAAAATTTAATTCTGTTTTACTATGTCCAACAAAGTGGATGTGTTCACAAAAGCTCAGATTAAATTATAAACAGTTAGTCTTTAAGATGCCACTTTTTTTGTATTTTTGTTTGTTTGTTTTTTCTTTAGATTTTGTCTAGCATGCGTCCCCAAAGACACTCACCTGACACTGTCACTGTTGTTTTCCTAGAGCCACACAACAGCGTTTTTATTTTCCTATGGTTTTAATGTACTGTACCAACAAGTATTTTAAATAGACCATTCATGTTTTATTAGCATTTTATCTTATATTGGTAGATGGTACTGGAAGCTCTGCTGAAAGGCAGTGCAGAACTCCTTGAAACAACTCAATAACTCTTCAATCTGCGGCATGACTGAGAATCACTTGTGACCTTCTCCTTCTTTGTCCTCTCCTGCTTAGAGGTTGGACATCATCACAGCTATACTGATGGCTGATGGAGCCACTTATTTTTCCATTGATTTAACCTTGAACAATCACCAATGAAAAAATTGTTTTTTGTTTCTCATAGGGTCAAATTATTCTAGCTCTTGCATTTTGAGTTTTATGCCTGCATCGCTTTTGTCTTTGCTGGTCACGCTCTTGATCCAAGAAATCTTCAGCATCCTAATCTCGAGTGTGTCTTTCCTTTTTCTAAGTAATCTAATGTCCATTATTCCGTGCCATACCTTGGAACCAAAAGACTACCAGTACATAATAGGGCCATACAATGTAGTGTCTCAAAGCCAACTTTCTTTATCTTAAGAAATCTGCTCCAGGTAAACCTACATTCTGACTTTAATTGTATCACTATGGTCCCATTGTCAACCAAATTCCAAGGCAGGTTACGTATCAACACAATTCACACATTCAGTGTTGATATTTCACATTTTTTTCAAGTTTGCTTGCATTTTAGTGATTACCGTGACACTGGTTTTCTTAACAGCAGAATTCTATTACGTTTATTCTAGTATAGTCAGACAGAATAAACCACAGCAGCAAATGGCCACTAGTTAAAAAAGCAATGCTTGTATTCCTTGATCTGCACCAAGTTATAGTATATAATTTCTATGCTTTTCCTTTTTTTAAATTTCTTGGTATTTTCTTTAATTTCAGGCACATGATAGGACTACAGTCTGAATTTATGTCAATTCTGCAAGAAGCTTTCATCTGCTTAACACTGTGTCCTTAACTCTGCTCAACTAGGATATAATCTATCAGGATCCTTCCAGTATCATTCTTCATGCCGTCTTCCAGGCATATCTGCCAAATGCGAACAACCCTTGATGATGCACTCGCTGAATCAGGCTGCAATTGACAAAAGTTTTTCTTGCAATACCTCTGCTAGTCTTTCCAGTAATGCAAGACTTCTTAAAATGGTTTTTCCTTCAATCATGGAAGAGCAGATTGCCTAACCTTCTGGCATACAGGCATCAGCCTTGCGTTTGGTTGAAGGTTGGAACTGTTTAGCAGTTTCCCAAAAGACAAGCAGAAGAACTCTCTGGTAGGTTTTCTGCTAGACATTTCAGCTCCCTTTCTCACTCTCAGTGCTCATGACTAGAGCCTGTTTTAAAATCTCCACTAAAAGTCTAGTTCTTCCCCGACGTGCCGTAAAACAACCGACAGAAGGTTCCAAGCTTGCCTACTGGTGTTTTCGAAGGCCCTGATCTCCACCCCATGGGTCCGCCCTCCCTGAAACCCTTCTGAGCACAAGGGAGGGTTCAGTTCACAGCTACCACTTCCTCTGTCTGACTTCTCCTCCTCCTGCATTTCCTCTTGGTCAATGACGACTTGGGTGTTGCCTTTAACTTTTTTCTTAGGCGCTCCTTTCCGGTTTTCCTTACACCCTCCATTGTCTGCTTCTGGTTTCTCATCTGCCAGGAGACAAAGAAAAACAAGTGTGTGTGTGTGTGTGTGTGTGTGTGTGTGTGTGTGTGTGTGTGTGT